TTTTAACAAATACAAGGCATGTAACTCCTGTCATAGTATACAGAATAGTTTCATTGCCATAAAAATTCTCTGCCCTCTGGCTATTCATCTCTCACTTCCCCTAACCCTTGGCCACCACAGATTTTATATTGTCTTCATAGTTTTGTCTTTCCCAGAATATAAATTCATAGGATTATATAATATACAGCCTCTTCAAATTGACTTCTTTTACTTCATAATATGCATTTAAGATTCTTTCAGGTCTTTGCGTGGCTTAATAGCTCATTTCTTTTTAGCACTGAATAATATTCTTTTGTATGGATGTATTATACTTTATTTGCCTATTCACCTACTTAAGGACATCTTGGTTGTTCCCAAGTTTTGGCAATATGAATAAAGGTGCTATAAACTAATTCCTGGGTGTATATAAGGTTTTAATAATTTATTAAATATTGAAGACCACAATTGCTAGATCATATAGTAAGAATATGTTTAGTGGGAAATTGCCAGTCTATCTTCCAAAGTGAATATGTCACTTAATCTTAATTATCATGACTGAAGAAGAGTCTTCTGAAGAGGTGTTCATGGGGGTGCTATACTCATCAGTGGATTAATCCACTTGTGTTCATACTTGAATGTGTTGTTAGAAGGTGGGGCCCAGTTGAAGCAGGTGGATTACTGGGGCATGCCTTTGGAAGATATATTTCTCATTGGTGCTCTTGTGCTCTGCTTCCAGCATGATGTTCCTACCTTGGAGCCACCCAATCACGGACTAAAACCTCTGAAACCATGAACAAAAATAAACCCTTCTCCTTTAAATTATATGTGTCAGGTATTTGGTCCCAGTGACAAAAAGCTAACTAATCCAAGGGCTGACTCATTTTGCATTCCTGCCAACAAAGAATGAGAATTTCTGTTGTTCTGCATCCTTTCCAGTTCTTTGGTGTTATCAATGCTTTGGATATTGGCCATTTTAATAGGTGTATTAGAGTTCTGTAGATTTGTAAGATAGAATTTGTTCATATTTTATTAGACTGATACTTAAGAATTTCATTTTATAAATGTAAATGGTAATGTACTTTAACTTCAAATTCTATTTGTTTATTGCCAGTATATAGTAAAGTGACTGGCTTTTGTATATTAACATTTTATCCTGCAACCTTACTATATTAGTTGTAGGGGTTTTTTGTTTTGTTTTGTTTTGTTTGCTTCTTTTGAACTTTCTTCATAGACCATTGTTATGATTTGGATCATAAATATCCACCAAAGATTTCTGTGTTTAAGGCTTGGTCCCTAGTTGATGACATTGTTGGGATATGGTGGAACCTTTAGGAGGTAGGTTCTAGTAGAAATAAATTAGGTCATTGAAGGCATACCCTTGAAGGAGATATTGGGACCCCAACTTCTTTCTTCCTCTCTCTTCCTTCTCTCTCCCTCTTCCTCTCCCTCTCCCTGTCCCCCTCCCCCCTCCCTCTTTCTGTCCACTATGAGGTAAGGTCAGCAGCCTCCTTGACTGCATGTTTCCACTGCCATGGCGTACTGTCTCAACACAAGCCAAAAATGAGAGGGCCAAGTGACCATGGACAGAAACATCTGAAACCATGAGGCAAAATAAATCTTTCCTTCCTTGAGGTTGTTGTGACAGTTAATCTTGATTGTCAACTTGACTGTACTGAAAGACTCTTGGAGAGGTAATTGAATTGTGAGGGTGATCACCTCATTACTGGGTTAACCCTTTGATGAATTTATAGTTGACTGAACTATTTGGAGATGGGGCTTAGTTGGGAGAAGTCAGTCATGGGGGCATGACCTTAAGGACTGTATCTGATCCCTTCTTCCTTCCTCTCTGGCTCTTCCCCTGTGCTCTGCCTCCCCAGTTCCATGAGTTGAATAGCTTTTCTCTACCATGCCGTTTTTCCATGATATTTCTGGTTTGTACACAGCTGACCATGTACTGAAACCTCTGATACCAAGAGCCAAACAACCAAAGTTGTGGGTGTCAGATATTTTGACCAACCAACAGGAAGCTGACCAATACAATTGCTTATCTCAAGTATTTTGTTACTGCAACAGAAAGCTGACAAACATAACAATCATATCATCTATAAATAAAGCTAGTTTGATTTCTTTCTTAATTTATGTATCATTTCTTTTCTTATTGATTTAGCTAGGACTTTCAATATGATGGTTGAAAAGCAGTAATAACAGAACATCCTTGCCTTGTTCCTGATCCTACTGGGAAAGCTTTGAATTTCTTATCACTACCTATATTAACTGTAGGAGTTTTGCAGATGTTCCCTACCACACTGAGGAAATCCCCCATTATTCCAAGTTTCCTGAGAATTTCTTGCAAGGCAGATCTCCAGCAACAAAATCTTTCAATTATTGTTTGTCTAAAAAAGTATTTTCCCTTCATTTTTGAAGGCTAATTTTATCAAGTACATACTTCTATGTTGGTAGTTTGAGATTTGGGGGCTTTGTTTTATTTTTGCATTTTAAATGATTCTTGCTACTCTCCGTTGCATAGCTTTTGTGGTGAAGTCAGATATAATTCATAGCTATGTTTCTCTACAGGTAAGGTACTTACTTCCTCTGGCTTCTTTCAAGATATTTTTCCTTATTTTTAATTTTCTGAAGTTTTAATATGATAAGACTGCATGTTGTTTTGGGCAGGTATTTGTCCTGCTTGTTGTTCTCTGAGTTTCCTGGATCTATAGTTTTACATCCCAAATTAATTTGGAGAAATTCTTATTATTGCTTGAAATGTTGCTTTAGTTCCTCTCAGTTTCTTCTTCTGGTGTTCCATTACATATATGTACTTTTGTAGTTGTCCCACAGTTCTTGAATATTCTGTCCCTTTTTTAAATCCTCTAGCACAGAAATCTCTGAGTTGAGTCTGATCTACTAATGAGCCTATCAAAGGCAGTCTCTACTTGTGATATTATCTATAGCATATTTTTCTTATTCTTTCTTAGAATTTCCATCTCTCTGCTTATATTTTTGGCCTGTTCTCGAATGTTGTCTTTTTTTTTACATGAGAGCCCTTAGTACATTGTTCATATTGTTTTAATTTCCAGATTTTTAAAATAAGTATTTTTATTTTTAATTGACACATAGTAATTGTGTTATACTAAATAGTAAGACATAGTAATGTTTATAGGTGATATTTTTGTAGGAGAACAGAATGTATAAGTGATTAAATCAGGATAACTGGCATATCTATCACCTCAGAAGTATATCATGTCTTTGTGTTGGGAAAAAATCAAAATCTTACTACTACTTACTATTTTGAAATATTGTCATCAACCATACGCATCTTTGTATGCTACAGAGCATTAGTATCTATTCTTCCCATCTAATTGCACTCCTGTTTCCACTGTCCTGTAGAAGTTTCTGACTTTGGGTTTCTGTTTGAGCACGTTTTGATTCTTTGTCTCTGCCTTTTCAATTTTGGGGCAGTGGTTTGCCCTGTGACCTCAGTTTTTGACTGGTCTGAGTGATGGTTTTGGTTTGGTTTGGTTTTGCCCAGATTTTTTGGTTTTTGTTTGGTTTGAGTTTTGTTTTGTTTTGGCTAATCCTAGGGATAGAACCTAGGGTCTTTTCAGTGAGCTAAATTCCCACCACTGTTCCTTTTTTTTTTTTTTTTTTTGAGACAGGATCTTGCTATACCACTAAATTGCCCACTGGTTTGGAACTGGAGATCCTCCTGTTTCAGCCTCCTAGAGTGCTAGGATTACAGGTGTGCACCACCATCTCCTGCTGAGGTGGTGACTTTTAAGCTACTTTTATGCTGGAATTGAAATTAGAAGTCCCAGACATATTGATTTTGAGTTGCTCATGAGACACTCACATGGAGCTAAGATACCAAAGGATGTAAATGTAAATTGGAGATACAGATCCAAACAATATGAATATGCATATGTTCATGAAGTCATAGAATGTATGAAGGTAATCTGGAAGCCAGCTAAATACACACCTGGGGAATTCCAGCATTAAAGAGACAGCATACAATTTTGAACAAGCACTGATAAGACAGTCACTTTCTGATAAATTAAGTTTTTCCTGCTACCTGGTTATTGCTCATATAAATTTATCAAAGTTCATTACCTTTTACTCTTTCACACCTACACCTCCCACACCCCAATTAAATAAAGCAATTATATTACATAATCTGCTCCTTCTGGGACAATTTTTAAAATGTAGACATTTTAACAGTAGAATAAGATATTTCAAACTACCTTTTAAATAAAGTGCTATAGATTGATTAATAAATCATTTGTTTAAACATATCACTTTAAAACAAAGATATTTTATTTTGGTTGACTATCTAGAGGAAAATTGAGTGCCAAATTCTAAACTTCCAAAGACAGGATTAAAAATTTAGATGCTGGAAGACTGCAGGAAACAGTAACATTTTTACATGCTACTGTAAAGGCAAGAAAGATACATCTGCCGAAGTTTATATTATAATTAAATCACTTTGTACTGACATAGCTTTACTTTAGAGAATGTTTGTGGGGATTTTTTAATCAGATAAAAATAGGCCTGCTGTTTTCTCTATACCAATTAACATAGTTGACATTTAGCCAGCTCTGCACTGGACACAGCAGGATATGTACAGTTTGTCCTGATTCTGTGGGAAACGAAAAATGCAAGACTTGCCACAAGAAAAAATAATGTGAACCCAAAAATCATGGTCCAATATAGCAAGTCAAATTAATTAAATTGATTTACTAAAGGTCAGTCTATGCTTTCCAGAGAACCAACCAGGAAAGAAGATAGTCTGGAGTACTAATAAACATTAGAGACTCTAAGTTTAACTATTAATACTATGTGTTATTAAATAAACATATTTAGTTGAAGACATTTCATTAGAGTTTGATTAGATTTTCAAATTTTCATTCTGTGAGTTTGATAAAAGAACTGGTAGTGGCTTGTACACAGCATGTAAAAACATGTTAAAAAATTTTTCATACAGAAGAACTACTTAGATATCTCTAGTCTACTTCTTACATTTACAGATGAGAAAAGTTGCTCCTGGAAATGTTGAAGTCACACCTTTATCAAGTTACACAGATACATTGCCCTCTCAGAACTTCTGCCACATGGCCTTTGGCTCATGGACTCAAAACTTGAAAGGTATATCAAAACTATTATAACATTTCAAATAACTAGAGTATTAAAAAATAGTTCATTCTGGTTCACTTAAAATTCTGCATAACTAATATTTTGAAAGAAAAGTACTTTTATAATTATAACTTCACTTTTAATATATAGATTCTTAAATATTTATCTAAAATATCTTAGCTCATAGTCCCACCTTTGTAAGTAGTAGGTTGAGAACATGAAATTGCTGATAGCAGATAATATTTTTAATGACAAAAATATTTCATATGTTTCAACTGAAAGTATGAGAGCAAACCAAATTGAATATTTGAGTAACATGTAGTAATATAAGTTCATTATTCCAATGAGTATTTTATATTGTTTGATATGATAGCTCTACATATAGATGGTTCTGATGACTATGAAGAAAATAGTCTGGCTCCAGAAATATCCTGAAAAATTCAAGACTTGTCCTAGCCAATCTCCAAGATAGGCCTTGGTGATTCACCTCCTAGAATTTATGCCTTTGTAGGCATCAGGGTGATATATACAACCAATAGAGTGAGGAATTGTATGTAGCATGAGGGTGGTATGTGAGTTCTGAGGCTAAGGTCATAAATGATATTGCAGCTTCCACTTTGCTCTTTCTTGGCTTATTCACTCTGGCAGAAATAAGCCACCATGTTATGACAATACTCAAACAAGCCTCTGGAAAGGTCCACATGTCAAAGAATGCAGACCTCTTGCCAAGATCCTGCACTAACTTGCTAGCCTTGTGAATGAGCCGTCTTGGAAGCATATTGTCCAACACCATAGTCGACCTTGCAGAAGACCTGACCAACAGCTTGCTTGCAACCTCATGAGAGACCAGAACCACCCAAAGCTGTTCCAAAATTCCCAGCCTACAAAAAGTGTGGGGTATATTGCTGTTTTAAGCCACTAATTTTGGGGATAATAAGTTACTATTACAGAGCTTTAAAAAAAAGAAAAAATAAATGTAAAATGTTCCTTGGATTGTGGCTGCATAACTTTATTCTCTGCCTCTGTTTTCAAGTGGTTTTCTCTACCTGGATAATCTAGGATAATCTCATATCTAGATCCATAATTTTAAGTTTTTAATTTCTTGTCATGCTAGGGATTGAACCCCAATCCTCCTGCATGTGCACTGTACCACTGAACTACACCTCTAGCCCTTGATCTTTAATTTAATCTCATCTGAAAAGACTCTTTTTCCAAAAGGATACATTTAGAGGTTGTATGGTGTGGACTTATCTTTTCAGCCCACTCCTTGCTCTTTAGTTGTGTAACTTCCCTCCTTTACTCCTTCATACACACACACACACACACATCATCATCATCATCATCATCATCATCATCATCATCATCATCATCACAGTTCCCTCATGGATTAAAAAAAAAGACTAGAAAATAATAATACTATGGGGAAGGAAAGAAACAAAAAGATGGCATTTGTTTCAAAATGTAGTTTATAGCTCATGTGTTTTTTATGGACCTGTAAGGCCTTTTTTACTCCATTCCAAGGATTATTATTGGCCTCACTCCTGTGTTGCTCCATGAAGTCCTCTTTGTGGAATGATCCAAGGCCATACCAATATTTCTCTACTTTGATACTCAATAATACCTGTTCAAAATTCTTTTAGTATCTATTCTCTAATTATTTCAAGTATGCATTGCATATCTATTCAATTAGATTGTAAAGTCCCTGCTGGCAAGACCACATCTTTTCCTCATTCTGAATCCCTTCCCTTGAACATTGTCTGGTGGAGCACATTACATGAATATCAATATGCATTTACTGATTGGCCAAATTAGTGGAAACATTTTAAATGTACTTTTCTTTTTTCTTCCTTGAAGATCATTTTGTCCTAGAAACCATTCCTTATATCAGAACATAGTACAGAGATTTCCCACATGGACTCTGTTAGGGTTTTAATTTAAAGCAGCCCCCAAAGGATCATGTGTTGAGGGTTTGGTACCCAAGGCAACAGTGTCTGGAAGTAGGGCTTTTTGAAGGTGGTTGGATCAGGACAGCTCTACCTACATCAGTAGATTATGATGGATTCATAATTTATGCATAGACTGTACCTGAAAACCCCACCCCTAACGTGATGGTGAACCAAACAATCCATACAGGTCCATATATCCTATGTCTAAATATTTAAAAGTCATATATTAAACCACCAAACTGGGCCAGGGATTTACCTCAGTGGTGCCACCCACCACTGCCTCGCAAGTGCAAGGTCCTGAGTTTGATCCTCCGGTACCAGAAAACCCCCCAAAAACCCACCAAACTTTTAGAAAGAAATGTCCTACCTTTTATCCTGATAAATTTCCTTTCAGCTTTTTCTTTTCCGAATTTCTTTCATATTTTCCATCTTCATTCTATCTTTGTGTTATATTATACTCATTCTCAATGCGCTAAAAAATTAAAACACAGAATGTAATGTATTCAGTGTTCAAATATATTTTCCATCCAAATAGTAAAGTAAATGTAAAAGAATGGAAAAATTAAAATTCTTTGCTTGAAAATTATTCTTATAGAGTACTCAGAATTCTCTTTTAAAATTAAAAAGGGAAAATAATTATTGAATATCAAATTTTTAAATCAAAATGATTGAAAGAAAATTTATCTGTATATATTAAGTATTTTAATAAAAAATAAAACTATTCTGTTTGCACATCTGTTGCCCATTCAGTGGCCAATGTGAAGAATTGATATCATACTTCATACATGTTATGTATTGCCTATATATTCACACATTGAAGAATAATATGAATTACTTTATGTTACACAATTTTCCTCAGCCACCATGTTCAATAAAATACTTACTAGTTCATGAGTACTCTCTGGAAACACAAATTGAAATGTGAAGAAAATCCTGAAAATGGATGCTTTGTATACTGGAAAATGATACTGCCTTATGCAAAAATCTTTTGCACTCACGCTGAAAGATAGGATCTGAAAAATTAGTCTTTTCTTCTACCTAGATACCTCTGTTATTCAAATGCACCCAAATTGCTGGGATTGATCAATAAATTTGGTAGTGGTACAATCCGCAAGACTTCTCAGCATTTAGATACAATTTCTTTCATTTAAGGACACAGGACAAGAGATGTAAAGAAGTAGTTCCCTGGCTCCTGAATGTGGTTAAGCACAAGAGTGGATGCTTAGGAACATATGATACTATGTCAGTGCTGAAAGCCAGATCTCAAGTGCCAGTGGTGCAAATTTATGTTTTGTGTTGTGATATACAGGGCCTGCTAAAGCTGGGTGACCTTGCTCAGGTAACAGGGCTGTGCTCTTACACCAAAATCTAGCAATGAAAGTCAGAAATTTCTTTACATGGTCATATATGATTCATAGACCTAAAAAATGAAGTTATCTGTACTGATACAGTATATTAGGGAGAGTTTAGACTCTAGAAAATGGTACTTGGGCAAGTTACTCCACTTACTTTTTGTCTCAATTTCTGTACATATAACCTTGAAGGCTAGTTGCAAGGCTTAAACCCACCTGTCTAACCAAGTAATGAACAGTATATGGATCATAGCAAGCACTATATGTGTATTACTTTTACATACATTTGCCAAGCACTGTGTTAAACCTAATCCACTCTTGGAAATAACACAATAATTAGTAATTATAATAATTACAATCATCTTTAAAATATCTTCATTATGTAGTAAGTACAGTGTTTATATTATCTCATTTCATCCTTAGAACAGCCCCAAGAGGTAGGCACCACTCTCAATTTCCAGAGGAAGAAACTTAAATTTAAAAAGTTTAAGTAATCTGGTCAACGGCACAGATAATGACAAGAGCTGAGCTTTGAATAGAAATTTTCTGAATTCTAAGCCTATAATCTTTTCACTTTGTTCTTGGTGGACCAACCATGTCTGCTAATCACAAATTCCTAGTTCTGAAATCACTGAGTACAATAGTACTGTTATTTGTTAGTATTAAAATTATCAGTAAATTGTAATCACCAAACTCATCTCCTTGAGGGCAGAGATAGTTTGATTCATTTCTTCACACAATGCCTAGAACACAGTAAATAATAAATATTTGTCCAACTAATGATGATTAATCTGGAGCCAGTGAACAAACGTATTTTGTGAATTGGTGCTCTAAAATAGATTCACTAAGACAGCCATAATATTTCCTCTCCTTTAACAAATTTTATATGATAATAACAATTACTTAAATTCAGTCAAACATACCCCTTTTGTTCTTGCTTTAACATTTTTAGCGATACCCTATAGACTTTGACTCTCCCATAAATTTTTCTCAAGACTCAAATTTATTCATATTTCTTTTGGCTTAAACTATTATTCTCATGGTCTTTGTTAGATAGCAAATTACAGGACGTTTAGAGATGTTTCCTTGTTTAGATCTGAACTGCTTGGGCAATTGTTTTCCTCAAAAATACTCATAGTACACCCAGATTCATACCAGAATATGGAATATGGTTATTCAGACTATCTCTCATTTTAAATAACATTTAAATTTAGATTTATGTATTAAGCAAAATAGTGGAGATGCATAGTTTTATTCTGAGAGTTTCAGTTCTTCAGTTCCACAAGGAACAAACTGCATGTAGTAACATCTTTAAGATGGCATTTGACAGCCAGCTTTAGGGAGAAAAAATTGACCCCCCAAGTTCATTTCTTCTCCACTGAACCAAAGTAATAGCTATATATTTACATTTGAGTTTAGATTGGGGAAAAGGGAGCGGTTCAAGTAAAATCATGAAATTAATCAAAATGGTAATGGAAAAAGGCTGCCAGGATGTAGCTCAGTGGTGCAGTCCCTGCCTGGCAAGCATAAGGCCCTGAGTTTGATTCCCAGTACCAAACAAAGAGAAAAAAAAAAAGGCTGACAGATAAAATTATCTGACATCCACTCCCCAATCTTCCTTAACAATGAGACCTTGATTCTAGTTGTCCTTATAGCTACTCAAAAAGAAAAAAGTGGGAAAAAATGTTCCTTTACAGTCACATATATAGGTAGGTAGGTATGTGACTACATTCTAATTAATGACATTGTAGCAAAATTGTCCTTTGGGATTTCCTGGAAGACTTCCTTAAGGGCGTTCATTCAGCTTTCTTTGTCTCTGTCTCCTTCATTTGGAGTGGAAAGAGCCCAGTCCTGCTGAGTTGCTGAATTGGGCTTTAGCTGATGGCTGAAACAGGTGCAAGGATTTTGGAAAGTTAGGTAGAAGCCATGTACTCAAGATGGCAGAGCAACGGTAGAGTTTGTATCCTTGATTGTAGAACAATTATACCAAGACTGTACTGCTTATTTCCAAACTCCATTTATATAAAAGAAATGAACTTATATCTTGTTTAAGGCATGATTATTTGTGCTTTTCTGTCTTTCTGATTTCTACCCAAGAGACAGACAAATCCAATAGAATTTTCATATAGTATTGTTCTCTTGGGCAAAGTAAAGAAAAGGATCCGAACTGATCATCTCCTTTTTCTACTCACCCCAAATGTCTTAATTCCATCTGGTTTAAAGAAACTGAATACATCTAGACAGCTTCTTCAAAGTTGGGGAACTTGTCAATTAATCCTAGTTTATGAATACAGTAGCAATTTCTCAAACGATATGCTTATATTCTCCCAAGATGACCTAGTTAGGGATTCTGGATTTTGTTCCATGAAAACAGCTTAAATGATTTCTCTGTTTACATGGTTTATTAATTACATACCTTTATAGAGCCATGGGCTTTTTCTTAGCACACCAAGAAAGATAAGCAAGCAAAATGTAACTTTCAATCTCAAATTTTAAACTGGTTTATTCATCATAGTGAAAAGTGTCACCCAACTGTTCCCTCAGAAAGCCTAGTTTTTCTTTTCAAAAGTTTTCTCATTTCACAATCTAATCTCTAAAATATTTCAATCTGCTATTACATATAGAATCCTATGTTGTAAGGTTATACATTTTTATATTTGATTTTTACTCTTGAAAATATATTTTACATTTC